TATGAATTTGAATCCCATTTTAACTTGTAATATATTATATATATTTTTTATTGCTTATATTTCGTCCCTTTTTGTATACTACATGCACATACGCCATCACATATGTCGCATACTCTCAGTGAGGGTATTCAAAAGCGAGGCGAAAGAGGAAAAAAAAGCAATTAGAAAAATATGCAGCAAAGTGTCAGTTGTAAAATTGTAAATTGCAACTGGGCGCGCGTCGAGTTTTAGTTTCTGTTGGTGATTTTGTTTTTGTTCTGCTTTTTTTTTTCATTTTATATATATTTTATTGTTGTTGCTAAAAATAAAACTAAACAAATAAATTTACATTTTTAATTGCAATTATCGCTGGCTATTGTTGCTGCGACAGCGACTGCGACTGCGGCTGCGACTGCGGCTGCGGCTGCTACTGTTTGCCTTTGGGGTCTTAAACAATTAAGATGATTTATTGGCAGCGCATTTTTATGAGGCAAACAAAGTTAAGAAAAACTCAAATATTTATGCTTTATAATAATCATAAATACATATAGATAGAAATATCCACATGATTTATCACACATATATGATGAGAACACGATTCATCTGGTGGCCAAAAACACAACAAAATGCGAATATTGCTGATTTCATGAGCCCAGAGAACAAAATGTTTTATTATATTATTATTTGTCATTGAGGGAGGAAGAGGCCAATTGCCAACTTTTATGTTTGCTCACTTGAGCATAGATGCGGCACAGCATAGACAGCGACTCAAAATGCACATTAAACAAAAAAAAAAAAAAAACAAAAAAAAACAAAAAAGAGAATAAAAACGTTAATGAAACGAGTCGTAAAAATTTATAAGTTAAAATTAAACAGGAAAATCGTAAAAACTGTCTGTACACTTATTAAACAAATTGAAACTATGCCTCCGGCCGGGTTTCAAGAGCAGCTGAGCTTCCAGCGAAACTCGAACGAAACTGTTACGGCACGACGAGGAAGTGCAGGTCCATGACATTGGTGCCCGTGTGGCCAGGGACCATATGAAAGCCGCCATCCTCCAGCTGGCTATAGAAGTTGTAGCTATCACAATTGCGCAGGCAGTTGGCCAGCTCGTCCAGTGTATGGCCAGCCAGATAGGCATCGATGACGCAGCTGTCGCCTATGGCGCCCGCAGCACTCGTGGGCCCGTCAATGCCATCCGTGCCGGCGCTCAGGAAGCTGCAGTCGTTCAGCAGCTCATCCCGATGCAGCATCTGCGACATGAGCAGCGCCAAGTGCTGACTGCGTCCGCCCAAGCCCTGACCCGTGACCTGCAAATAAATCGGGCAATATTATTATAGCTATGTATATAGTTCAGCTATTGATTAGCACTCACTTGGATCACTGGCTCGCCGCCACAGATAAGAAACAGCGGCTTATTGTTCGTCACATGCTGCTCGAGCGCTTTGACAAATTCATCCCAACTCTTTTCGTCGAAGGCGAATCTGTCACGCAGCTGCTCTTGATTGATGCTGCGCTGCTTGAACTCTTGGATGCCGTGCAGCAGGCGCTGATAGTCCGCCGTCACGCTGTTCACATCGCCCTGTATGGAGCAGCTCAGTACGCAGGGAATGTAGCCCAGTTTGGTGGCTTCATTGGCTGCTGCTGTGGTAGCTACCAAATTGCTGCCCACCACGAAGACTTTGCCACTGTCGAGTGGCTGCTGCTGGTGCTCAGTGGGTTGCTGCTCGAAGAACTGCTGTAGCTCTGTTGACAGTTCGTTCCACACTTCATGTTTTATCAATATATCCTTGGCAGATTCGCCCCTGCCGCTGGGCTGTATGGTGGGCCCGGAAGCAATCAGCTCCAGTGGATCCCCGACAATGTCGCTGAGAATAAAGGTGACCAACAGATGGGCATGTTGCGCCGCCCGCGCCAACCCTCCGCCTTTAATATCCGAGCAGGCAATGCGCACCGTATTCAACTCCTGAATGCTGGCGCCGTGTTTCATCAGCTTGTCCGCAATATTGCGCTTGTCCAGCAGCGTCAGCGGAGGCTTGGGCAGGGGCAACAGCGCAGAGCCGCCTCCTGAAATGAATACAAAGAGTATGTCCTTGCTAGTCATGCTCTCCGCTAGCTTCTTGATGGCCTTCGCTGCATTCAGTGCCATCTCATCGGGCAAGTTGTTGGGCGCTCCCTCATATGTGATCAGTTTCGGGCTGATGGGCTGCTTGTACTGCTGCACGCTGTTGAGGGGCACGCTTAGCACACCGCCCGCGGAGCAGTCGCCCATATCCTGCTGCACCTTGTTGGCCATGCCCAGCACGGCTTTGCCAAAGCCCACAATGTGGCATGTCTTGCCAGTTATGTCGTGTTGCTCTCCATTTAGCTTGATATAAACACTCTGGTTCTTGGCTAGGGGTCGCAGGTCGTGAATTTTATAATCCTCGAATATCTTCTCCGGATGCACCGCTCTCACGGCACACTGGAAAACGTGACGCATCTGCTCCCACGTCCGACGTTTTGCCATAATGCGTTAGTCTTACAGATGCTGAAATGATATACAGTTGTAGTATATGAAATAATAATTAAAACACTGTAAACTTTACAACTCAAGTTCCCACTTATGAGAGATGCACTTTTTCAAATCAATATGCCGATTCCTCCAATAATATCGTCAGACAACGTAGTCCAGCAGGATTCGCTCCACGCTAAGGAGTAGAACTTTGTTTATATTTATTTTACAGAACGAATGTGCATATGCACAGTTTTTTTTAATACACACCTTGCGCCTTTAAGGAAATTTACAAATGAAACAGCACTTTCATACGCTGCGAGTTGGAAATCTTGTTTAACTTATCATATCGGCGATCAGTTGCCGGGTCAAATTTGTAGGTGAAAACAACTGTTGTTGTTTACTAAGAAATTACATTAGTGATGCGCAAGTGAAATGTAAATAAGGCACACATAACTATCGAACCGCAACATAGCACGACTTTGCGCTGAGAAAAAGCCTTATACAACTAATCAAATATTTTTAGATAATGTATATCTTACGACAGCCAATGTACACAACATTTAAGTAGAAATAAAAATGCAGTACGTATATTACAATATTAAAATTGAAATTAATTTTGAACATATGCACTGCTTGCATGCTCTCTGCCATCGAACAGCTTATAAATACATCGTTTGTGGCTTATATCAATTAGCTTGACAGCAGGAACAAGACTACAAACTGAAGCTGATAGCTATGACAAGCAGCATACATTACTTACTCAACCAAAACATAGATGGCGACCTCAGTGCTAGCTGATAAAGGTATTTAAAAATACAATGTTACACGCCAATTGTGCTCGCTAGTGAAGAAATTGGCAATAACACGAAACGAAAAAATTAGTAGGTGTTACATGGTTGTCGAAGCGACACGTGTATTTCACTCATGGTATAAACATCAAATAATTTAATGGCATAAAAACAAAAATACATAATTATATATGTGTGCACATATATAAATACAATTATGAATTACAATGTAGTACAGGATGTTGTAATGTATATTACGATCCCAAACAAAAGCTAATAGCTATGACAATGAAACAGCATGCCTACTCAATCGAAACATAGATGTCGACTCTAATATTTGCTGATAAAAAGCATTTAAAAAGTGAAACATTTGGAATACCGAATTTCATTCAATAATGATTTAATTAACATGTTGCGAATTAGCAGGTGTTGCCGCCTACGTGTGTGGGTGTTTACATATTAATGTCAACGTCTCGAATCTCTACGCGCCGCACAGATCGCACTCTTTGATTAGGCGCCACTTTAAAAGGCGCGCACTTTCGCTGCTGGAGGCACAGTTCCAGCTAGAAGCTCAAATGAGGCCGACCACAACGGTGCTACTGCTGCTCGGTAAGCATTTTTTCATGCTTCACTTACTCCCATTTCATTTGCGGCTAATTTTTTGTAGCTGGCGTTTGCTCTTGCTTCGGCAATCCCATCCTGGGCATACTGGATCCAAGCTGTTTTGTGGCTACTGGAGCTGTCTGTCCCAATGAGAATGTCACCTTCTGGCTGTACTCCAAGTATGCCATCTTCCGCTTCACCTGCTCGGATTTAAAAATTCATTTATTTCCCTTCTCACAGCGCCACGCGCGATGCTCCTATCCAGCTGAATCCCGTTGATCTGAATCCCTGGGACTTTCAGCCATCACGCCCACTGAAAATACTGTTGCACGGCTATACGGGCCACCGCGACTTCGCTCCCAACAACCACATACGGCCCGCTCTGCTGGACAACGAGGACGTCTATGTGATATCCATAGACTACGCTCCATTGGTGCGGGAGCCGTGCTATGTCGCGGCCGTGAGGAACCTTCCACTGGTCAGCAAATGCCTGGCGCAGCTCATTAACAATCTCGTCGATCGCGGCATTGTGCCGCACGAGCTGATCCACATCATTGGCTTCAGCCTCGGTGGTCAGGTGGCCGGACAGGCGTCCAACTACTTGAAACGCAAGCCCAAACGGATAACCGGCTTGGATCCGGCTAAGCCACTCTTCATCCTAAGCAACAATGCGCGTCGACTGGATGCTGGCGATGCGGAATTCGTGGACGTCATTCACACGGATACCTTGGGGCGGGGCATGATGCGTCCCATGGGCCATGTGGACTTCTATCCCAACTTCGGCCCACTGCAGCCGGGCTGCCTGGAGGAGAATCCCAACGACCCGGGCAGCTGCAACCACGAACGTGCACCGCGCTTCTATGCCAAGTCCATCGATTCCAGCCTGGGCTTCTGGGGCCGCCACTGCTCCAGCTGGCTGATTTACGTCTTTGGCCTGTGCTCCACACGCTCCAAGCTCGCTCTGATGGGCTACCACGTGTCGCAGCAGCTCAGCGGCTCCTTCTTCCTCAAGACACACAGTCAGCCGCCCTACGCCATGGGCAAGCCAGTGGAAGAGGACAACAGCAAATACGTGGCCAAGTTCCACCTGAGCCCGAGGCACAGTGAAATCGAACACGATTTCGAGCCGCTACTGGGCGAGTCCGTACCCGAGCTGGAGGACAACGACGTGGACACCAAGGAACTGGAGAAACAACTGAACTGGCAGGAGTCGCTTGACGAGCCGCTCTTCTAGCTCTCCCAGCCACAATCTCTCCGATAAGACTTATCTGCTATGCGATCAACTACCAACTAATCTAAACTAGTTAATTTATATCAGAATAATAAATGTATTTATTATATGTTTCACTCATACCTATTTGCAATGCAATATTCTTTGGAATCATTCAAATTCCTAGGTTCAGCTAAGCTAATACTAATACTAATAACAAAATGTTGGTAGAAATCTTAACTTAAACAACTTTAGTAGTATTTCGATTATAACCGTATACTGCTTTTGTTCTGGTAGCGTATCACCCTTATCTGTTACCTTATCTGTTACCCAAAGCCAACATACCCAGACATCACACATAAGAATTTATTATTTATTAAACATTTTATTGAATGTAATACCAATACTTTAGACCTCAAATTGAGTCTACAATTGACATGTTTGGCTAGGTTTGGGATTAGCCAAAAGTCACTTTATAGGCTTAGTCGCCTTATCGGCTTGCGAAAATGGAGCTGAGCCCGCAGCTGGAGTGGATGGCTTGACCTACAATTGGGGCCTTGACTTCTTATCGGAGCCAGCGCATAGGGGACGCCTCAAGGGCCGAGTCGTGCTCAAGGTCAGGCGAAGTGAATTTAATAGAATTAGCATTAGGGAAGGCGGCCAATGCGCTCCAGCTGCTCGCGATGTGCCAATATCGGATGAATGCAGCGATTCCATTGATCTGCTGCCTGCTGTTGCTGTGGAGCAGCTCAGTGAGTCTGGACACGCCACGATTCCAGCGCGAGCCTTGTGTCTATGCCACGGATGAGTGTCCCAACTCGCGCATCAGCTTTTGGCTCTATACCAAGTGAGTGAACGTCGGGCGCAGATGCTCCACGATATCTACTCTCTCTTTCTCTCTCTCTCTCTCTCTCTCTCTCTCTCTCTCTCTCTTTGCACTCTCCAGCTCCAGTCGTGATGCTCCTCTTTTGCTGGATCCACTTAATCTGCAGGCGAGCTCCTTTGAGCCTCGCCTACCCTTGAAGATTCTCATCCACGGCTTCACTGGCAACCGCAGCCTGACGCCCAATTCGGAGGTGCGCGACGTCCTGCTCCAAGCGCAGCCCGTTCATGTGATCTCCGTTGACTACGGCAGTCTCGTGCGGTTTCCCTGCTACTATCCGTGGGCGGTGCGCAATGCTCCGGTGGTGGCCAAGTGCCTGGCACAGCTGATCGACAGTCTCTTGGCCAGCGGCATCTACCGGCGGGAGCAACTGCATCTCATTGGCTTCAGTCTGGGCGGCCAGGTGGCGGGCTTGACGGCCAATTTTGTGCAGGAGCCTCTATCGCGCATAACGGGTCTGGATCCAGCTGGACCTGGCTTTATGACCAATAGGCTGAGCGATAAGCTCGATGCGAGCGATGCCGACTTCGTGGATGTCATTCACACTGATCCCTTCTTCTTCTCCCTGCTGCCGGCCATGGGCCACGCGGACTTCTATCCCAACCTCGAGCACTTCAGCCAACCCGGCTGCACATACATCAATCACTGGCGCCCCTACAACTGCAACCACTTCCGCGCCGCCATCTACTACGGCGAGTCCATAGTCAGCGAGCACGGCTTCTGGGCCCAGCAGTGCAGCGACTGGATGCAGTATTTCACGCGACGCTGTAGCCTCCACGCCCATCGCCTCAACACTCAAATGGGCTACTTTGTTTCAGAGAAGTAAGTTATAGGGTCTTATATATCCAGATAAAATTTTCCATCTCTTTTTCTCTCAATCTTCCGTTTGCTTGCTTGCTTACATTCTCTTTCTTGTATTCTTCTCTGCTCGTTTCGTTTCTCTATCTCCTTCTCTGTCTACATCTGTCATTCTCTCTGTATCTCTCTACTATGTTCTCCCTCAATCTCTATATCCCTCTCTCTCTCTCTCTCTCTCTATCTCTGTTTCCTTCTTTGCAGCTCATCTGGTTCCTTTTTTCTGAGCACTAATGAAAAACATCCGTATGCCAAGGGACCCATTTCAATAATCGTACCTGAAATATCAGAAAAATCAATTAAATGAAATGTTAAGGTTTTTAACTATATCTCTTAAAATATATGTAACGTAGAGTCAAAGCAAAACCTCATAAGCTGGGGAGCATTTTCGATTGCTCGAAATAAAAGCCCTTTTCCAAATCGAGAACAGCCCAAAAGCAATAAAAGCTGCAAACAAAACGAAAACGAAAAGCTTTTCTAGTCACAGAGCGAGCTTTTATGGTTATGTGTTGTTGTTTTTTTTTTCGGGTGCTGCGCTCCACAAACTTTTTGGGCTGAGCGCAAACAAAACCGAAAGACTTAAGACACGAACGCGAGCAACAGTTGCTCGCCAGCGCGCAAACGTGACGGACGTCCGCAGCTGAAATTCGGCAAATAAAGAGCTTTTGACAGCAAGTGCGAGTGTTTGCTCCGCCGCGAAAGCCAAGATCAAGTGTTGCACAAAAAGTGGTCGTTGTTGTCGTTGTTGTTGTTGTTGKTGGTGTTTGTGTTGTTTTTATTGTTATTGGTTTTGTACGGGTTTCGTTATTTTTTGGGCGTTTCGCGCGTGCTCCGCTAATTTTAGCATATGCATAGCATCCGGCATAATGCCGCGACAGCTGGTTGTGCATTGAAATTGAAATTGAAATTGAAACAGAAATCGAAATCGAGAGTGTGAAGCGAGTCCGAGTGCAACAACCCGCTGCAACATCTGTGGCCGCTGCATTCATATTTAAATAAATAAAAGCTAACGTCAACAAAAGCGGCGCGAATTGCATTTTGTTTATAAATGTCAAAGGCACGAAAACCTTGACCCACACAGCAAATATTTGTGGAGTGAGAAAGAAATATACATACATATATACGTATGTATACGTACATACTTGCTCATAGATTCCAACTTATATAAGAGCAATTGACACAAACCAAAGTGAAGTGCGTTCCACACTGAGAGAAAAAACAAATATGATTCGGCGGCTTCTGTGTTTGTGGCTCAGCTTCAGCGTTTTCATTGTGGATTTTGCCGGTTTGTTTACATATACACATACCTACACATACATGCCCATGCGTGCTCATACGTATAGGCACTGTGCTAAAAAGAAATCTCGTGTTTAAGTTAAAAACTTTTACTTTCGCTCTGGCTGCTGGGCAGTCGCTAACATTTATGACATCTGCTGACGCGTTTTTGTTTTGTTTTTTTCTGAATATTTGTGCGTTTCTTCTGCTTTTGTTTACATTTTTAATTATGAGACACATAAATTGCACAATATTTATTTTTAATATTTTTGCTGGTTTTTATGACATTAGGCCATCAAATGTTGCCATGTCGACCTTGCTTCATATCATTCAGCAACAATATTTTGAAATTGATTTCGATTGAAAACATTAAGGTTGATGCTCTGCGCCGCACGTACTCAAAAGGCAGCAGCCGCAGTAGCAGCATTAACAACAAACAACTACTTATAACTATTTATAACAACTTATGTGTTTAGCCAAAGGCTTTTGTCTGTCTGCGACCAGCTCGAACGTGCTGTAGCTGCAAATTCGACACACTGTCCAACAGACTTGCAAGGCACAAGAGAAATTAGAAATCAATTTGAAATGGGCAAAACTTGTGAATTTTTATTCTACTTGAAAAACATTGCACAGAAATGTTAGAGCGAAAACAAACTTAATTTTCATTTTGACTTGAAGTTAAATAGAAATAAAGTTTTTTTTTTTTTTTTTTTTTTTTGAACAGCACTTTATTTAAATGTTACATTAAAAAAGATGTGATCATGAAAATAAAAAAATTAATATTATAATCCATATCCAGATCTGCAATAAAAATAATTTACTTATAATTTATATGAAACAAAAATAATTCAGTTTAAAAATCATTTTATTTATCTTTAACAGTTTTTTAGCTATGCACTTTCCGACTGGTTCATGCTTCTCTACTCGTTGACTAAGACGAATTTAGCAGCAATAAATTTACGGCTTTAAGACCGTGAACAAGTTTTATGTAGTCGGTAGCTATAGTTTGTAATATTCTTATTGGGCGTAGCTTATATCAGGAAACTTTGCCAAAAACCTTCTAGAAAAAGTTTTATTTATTTTTTAACAAAATTGGGTCTCATTTAATAAATTGTAAATGAATTCATAATTAAACTGATTTTTTTATTTTTTATTTTTTTTTTTTTTTTATATATTTTTTTAATTGATAAACCCTTCATAAAACATAGCTTTTTCGGCTGTAGATCATGAGCTATTAACCACTGTGCCTTGGGTCAGTTGGCCAAAAGCCGATGTCTCTTTTACCACTCACTGTTATTGTTGTGATATTTCTTCTTCTTTATCCTCTTCACTCCGTTGTTGTGAGTCAGCTTTACACAAATCGTGTTACACATATCTTGAATTAATTTAAAGCAACAAAGATGTGCAAAATGTGCCTCAACATTTAGCAGCTGCCCTGCCCGGGCATCGGCTGTTGTGTTTTGGCCCAGTTAATTAATTGTGCTATCTGCACTCAAACACACACACACATAATAATAGCATACATGTATTCATATTTTTATTCGTATTCCTCTGGTTGTCCGTCTGTCTGTCTGCACCTTGACACCCATCGCAGTTGTATTTCGCAATAGTTTGTGTTCAAGTTTATTGAGCGTGCCATTTTATGACCATTTTGTACTTTAATTGTTGTTGCTGTTATTGTTGTTGTTGTTAGGGCAATCCCACATTCAAAGGTGGCACTCAAAGGTGCCACGAATCGCTGTTCTGGCCCTGCGACCGGCTAATGGGGCGTATGCGCATTGCTCAAGTGCGTGTCACGAAAGCCAGACGAAGGCAGCCAACTGAATGCCAAAGTCAAGTGCTGAATGTTTGCTATTTCGCTTTAATTAAAGTGCAGTGCAGCTGTCTTAGGTTATACAACATTAAATGAGCTATGGGAGCTATTTTTGTGAGCCAAAATTATACACTAGCTGAACTAAATTTGCAATTCTTTTTTTTAACTGCAAACATAAGTTTATTTATTTAATTTGTAGTTCTTTATTCTTAAGTCACAGCTGACCTTAGCTATTTTTTAATGAACTAACAACATTAAATTATATAATAGTCTTGTTGACCTTATCTCAAGAGCTGAAAGCCAAAAATGTTATAAAGGCAAATGTTGCCACAAGTGCTACAAGTGTTGCGAGCGAGTAGAAGAGAGGTCACAGAAGTCACTTCAATTAACTTAATTAATTAACTTAAATTAACTTGATACATATTTGGCTTGACTCTTGATTCAAATTCTATATACACCTTATATACAGCTTCAAAGCAGACTCTATATATAGAAAACAATTTGAAACCATTATTAATATTAATATATATTTTTGCTAAATTTATATGTCCATATTAATTTATTATATTTATCTGTCCATCATTAAGTGTTATATTTTATATTTATATTTTTAGTATAGTGCTTAGAGAGGTTTACGCTGCAATCTCTTACAATCTGTCACGCTCTTAGTAGCAGTGGTCAATCTCAGTGGGGCATCTGTAGGAACTTAACTGTTAAATTGTGATATATAGAGATGCATACCATATACTAACATCCACGAGTGTATACTCATAAATATCGCCGATTAGTCAAACAGCATGACGGTCATTGCATAATAACTAATTCACTCGTTTCACCTTGTGAATTCATATTATGTCATATGCTTAACCGCTTGCCTCTAATTGGAGCCCATTTTTATATATCATCAGTTGCCTTAATACTCACAAATTAGCTCAGTTTCCAGCTCGTAATTAGAGTTCTAAGTACAACTTTAGAATAACTTCAATTTGAGAACAACATGCAATAATCTAGGATTTTCTTAAATTTCATTGTATTCAAAGCAATTTCCGTTGAACAGAAATGATAAACAAAGAAAAACCACAACAAATACTTCAAATGATGCAGGCCAAACAATTCGAGCCGCAGCACAAAAACCTATAAAAAACAACCAACATTAAACAAAAATGTAGAGAGAGAGACAGCAGCTGTAAATATCAGAAAGACATAACGATTTAACAACAATAACAATTAAAAAACAAAATACAATAAAAGTGGGAAAGGCATAAAAAACGTCTTTCACTTAAAGGCAAAGACGTAGCCAAAAGATGAACCAAGTCTCAAATTGTTGTTGTGGCTGTTGCTGTTGCAGTTGTTGCTTTGGTTGTTATTGCTGCTGTTGTTGTTGTTGTTGTTGTTACTGCTACTGTTGTTAGTATGCCATTGCCTATTGCTTGAGTCTTCCGCATTTGTCGCTTCCGTTTTATCGCTTTTGAGGTTTCTGGAGCTGAGTTTTCTTCTCGACTTTTCCGGCTGACCATTTCGTGTATTACACGATTTCGACATTGCCGAAAAAGCCAACACGCTAAAATAGGCATTTAATTGGCACTCGTAGTGCTGGCTGGCAACGGACTCGAAGTACACGTCCGAAAACCAACTTACATAAGACACAAAAAGACGTTCGCCAAACGGTTCGCTGCTCAAGCGATGAAAGCGGCCAGAAAACTGAAAACTGAAAACTGAAACTGAAAACTCGCCGCAATTCAGCCAGAAACATGACTCGGCCCATTGCTAATTGCATTGCGGGGGAGCTACAGTGCCACGCCTCCCTCCCCCTCGGGTAGTTGGTCAAAACATAAACGCATTTACTAAACTGAATTATGCTGGGCTCCGCTGGCGATTGTGCAAAACAATCGCATGTCGCATGCTTAAGTTGACAACATATGAAAGAGGCAAAACCTGTAAAAGCGAGTTCGGTCAGGTCTGCACGACTAGTAGATACCTGGTAGATATTGCTATTGTGGTTGTGCGTAAAGATATTATCAGTTAATGCATTCTCTGTATTTAATTGTAAAGAGAAGACAGAATTTTACGAATTTCTGAGAATATCTATTTTGAAGAGATACAGTTAATTTGTATGTGTATACTTATAATCATTCCAAAATCAAATGAGTTGACCGAGGCCGATATGTGTCGAATTGAATGACTTTATATGGATGTTTATCGAAAGATAACTATATCTATTAAACTATAATCTGTTCTGTAGTCTCATAAAAAAAATAAAAAAAATTGAATTAATTTCAGAATTCTATGATAATGTTATCGATAGTTATAGATTTCGTCTTTATTATAAATGTAAAAATCTATTGAATGCAAACGATTTTTATAAAAAATATACCTAACAGAAAACCCCCTATCACAGATTTACAGTCAATATACCCTGTCGTCATTGCCCATTGGTTACAGGGTATTCGAAAAACCATTATGACAACATTTCATATTACAAGATGCTATCCAGTACCAAAGACGGACGTACTTCTTCAACTAGTTGCCGCCCGCTTACTATGCCATGAGGTGAGCTGATATCGAGTGCCGGCTGCCCTAAAAGGCAAAGTCCACTCACTCTGATCTTTGGCCAGTGAAATGAACCACTGTTCATTACCGTGAACTGAACTGCAACTGCAACTGCGGGAGCTGCAGACCGGTTGCATTACGACATCGAGCAGCTGGTTTAGCATAGCAAAGTGGGCCAATTGGCCAACGTCTGTGATTAGCCGAAGGCCGATTCTACATATATCTAAATATAGAGAGATATACACATATATTATTTTTCATTTTTAATAAGGCCATCAAAATGCAAAGCGCAACTAAATTTATGTACGCGCGAGTCTCACAATTTGCTTGCTCGACTATTAGTGCTGACTGTGCCTCGACTTGAAGTCGTTCCGTATAAATCGACTTCTGGATTTATATAGTTCCTCAATTGAAATGTTTCTAGAAATAAGGTAACCCTGATACGGAACTCATTTACTATTGCTTTCGACACTATATTCCTATAACTGATAATATCCTATATCACTTCAGTAAAAATAAAACTACTTTATTAAAATTAAAATCCAAAATATGAAATATATAGAAGTGAACGGCATAAGTATCTAAATATTAATCAAATATTTGAGACGTAAGATGTACTGGCAAGTAATCAATATTATTACATGATAGGTACGGTTGATCAATTATGAACTAGTTCCGCAAATGAATCAATCTATAAAAAAACATGTACTGCACGAATTGAAAAGTAAAATTAATATTATTTGGCATGTCAATTGATATCAGTCAACATTGAAACGATCCCGAACTGGTTCTTTATGTGACTCTACGAGTGCTGCAGCTGTGCAGATGAGCTCGTTGAGTATGGGTTTTCCTTATGGCTCCAGCCATGAATCATGCACACTCACTCACACACACACACACACACACACTCACGCATAGCCGGCATCCAGTTATGTCACGTCACGGTGTTTGTGATATAAATAGCAGCAACTGGCAAGCGGACAACAACAACAACAACTGGAAATAATAGCAGATGCGAGTGCTCGTTGCAAACTTCCGTTTTTTCCCGTTCGCTCGCTTGCGGCTGACTTTTACTTTTGCCACAATTGCAGAAATGTGGCAGCAACTGCTGGCAAATGTGGCAATTGCAGTCGCATCGACATTTGCCACAAAATCGCCAGCATTCAATGTCTCTTATGTAATTTGGCCGGACGAAAAGAAAAGAAATGAGAAAACCCGTTTAGCCACAGCCGGAGGTGAAGGTGTTCCGACAACTAACTCAATCTGTCTCTCTCCCACTCTCACCCACGCTCTCAGTCACACTCTCACTCACTCTCCCACTCTCTCCCTCTCTCTTTCTCTCTCAGCTAGTCAAAACGCTGCAGTTGTTGCTGCCGCTGTGGCTGCGGGCCAAAATCAATCCCAAGTCTATGTCACAGACTCTTGCCTCGAGAAGCCGTACCGCTGCCCGCACCCAAAGATCCAGTTCTACCTGTACACGCGGCGCACCCAGGAGGAGCCCGAGTATCTGGATGTGCTCGATCCGAACGCCCTCTACTACACACACTTCAATCCGCGACACCCCACCAAGATCATCATCCACGGCTTTGGCGGCGGGCGCATGCTCAGCCCCAGCCCGGACCTGCGGGAGGCGTACTTCAGCATCGGCGAGTACAACATCATCATCGTGGACTACAGCAACGCGGTGAAGGAGCCCTGCCTGAGTCAAATGGAGTGGGCGCCGCGCTTCGGCAGCCTCTGCATCTCGCAGCTGGTCAAGTACCTGGCGCGACATCCGCGCGGCGTCCAGCCGGACGATCTGCACTTCATTGGCTACAGCGTGGGCGCCCACATCGCGGGCCTCGTTGCCAACTACCTGAAGCCCGAGGAGGGCAAGATCGGGCGCATCACGGCTCTGGATCCCACCATATTCTTCTATGCGGGTGCGAACAACTCACGCGATCTGGACACGAGTGATGCGCACTTTGTCGATGTCTTGCACACGGGCGCCGGCATCCTGGGACAGTGGCACTCGAGTGGACATGCCGACTTCTATGTCAATGGCGGTACCAGGCAGCCAGCGTGCGTCGGCTCTGCCACGTTGTTTCGTAAGTTTCGGCTGGGATGACTGAGCGTAGGACTATAGAAAGTTATCGATGAATAGTTATCGGCTATCGATCAATTTCGAATAGTGCCTTATGTTGGCAAACATGAGTTTACAATCAGGCAAAGAAGTAGAAGCAAATCTACTGATATCACAATATCTGTTACCGATGAGAACTTATCGACTATCGATAAATACAGATTTGAGCCTTGCAATCTAGTAAGCCATCTAGTAAGTTGATATACAGATCTTTTCTGGGATTAACTGGATATACTTAATTATCGATAATTATCGATTTATATAAGTCAGAGTACGTATAGGAATGTTTAGAGAAATATTCCCCTGAGCTCTCTCTTTCTGTAGTGAAATCAATATTTAAAATATTGGAATTATCCGATAACACATTTATCGATAATAAATTATATCTTCCAATAGCCCTTATTATTACCGATAGTTTTTAGCGCTCCAAAATTGAGTTCAGGTAGCAATTTATACAAGTAATCAAGTAGAAATCGAATCAGACTTTAGTTTATGATTATATTGATTGATTATAAACAGCGGTTAATCTGTATTCATTCATACATGGAGATATTATTCACACCTCTAAAACTTTCCTCAGAAACTTTGGCCTGCGATCACACCAAGGTCACGCCGTACTTTATCGAGTCGATAACAACGAAGCGAGGCTTCTATGCGGGGCCCTGTCCGAATCTGTTCACCTATCTGATAGGCTGGTGCGAGCCCAAGGACTCGGAGTATGTGCTCATGGGCGAGCACTGTTCGCACAAGTAAGTCGACTTGACAAATACTCGATTATTATTTTCTATATGTATTTCATGACTTGTGTTTAACAAACAGAGCACGTGGCAACTACTATGTGACGACGAATGCGAAGGCGCCCTTTGCACGCGGCTTTCCGGGCAAGGGGCGGGCCAACGGGGAGTACCAGGGCGTAAGGCGCTGATCGGCTGGTTCGAATCGAGTTTACTCTATATAGATAGACATATAGTATGTTCGATGTAGCACTCATGTGATTTTAGTTCGTTGTCTCCTAATTACGTGTACTTGTATTTATTTCCCACTCGTTTCATCTTAGTTTTTACCATCCGCCGCCATCGTCGTCGTCCGCGCCTCGTACAAATCGAAATCTAATCATTAAATTTAGCTAAAAATCAATAAAAAAAAAATACTCAAAATA